ATAATTGTTAAATAATTTTGTTATTTTATTATATTTTATTATGTTTAAAAAAAAAAATTTTAACGAAACTTTTAATTTTCATTAAGTTTTAAAATTTTTTCTTATTATTATTTATGAATTACTTTAAATTTATATTTTATTATAACTTTAACTAATCTAATAAATTCATAACAGAAACTTTAATTGTTTATAAATTTTCACAGTTTTTCTAATTATTTATAATTCCAAAAATTTGTTAATATAAAATTATTATTTTTTATTATTACTGTAAAAAAAATTATATAACGAATTTTTTATATTATTCTAAAGTTATTAAGTATAATTTTACTTCGAAACTATTTTAAGCTTAAAATTCATATTAATTTCGTATTTAAAATTTTTTTAAACAGTAAAACTTAATATTTTCTTTACAAAATATATTTATTTAGTGTTAATAAACATTTACTTTAATGTTTACTATAAAAATATATTTTTTAAATTCTTTTTAAATTAAATTATCTTTTTTACTTTCAATAAAATTTTAATATTATTTATTTTATATTAACTTTTAATACATATTTTATAATTTTTTTTGTTATAAAAATTTAATTATATTCATACACTTGAAAAAAAAAGATTTTAATTTTTAAAAGCAAATTAAAGTTTTTTAAAAACTTTTTATTTAAGTTTTATATTTAATAGAAGCAAACACGCGTTTCAAAAATATTTTTTAAAATGTAATAAATAATGAAATATAATTAAATTTTGGTTTTAGCAAATTTCCATTCGCATTAAATTCTACAAAAAAAAAATTTCAGCACAGCGATTATTATTTTGCATCGTTTATAGGCATTTTTTTAGTTATTATTATTATTATAATTATTATTTTATTATTAACTAATAAGTAAAATTATTAAAGCAAATCATAAATTTTTTTTAAATAATTTTTTGTAGAAAACTAAATATGAATAATTTTAAATAAATAGAAGATTATTTTCATAAATCCTTATAGGACTACAAAATTTTTTTTGAAAGTAAATATATTAAATTTGAAATTATAATTATAAATTTGCTTCTATTATTTTAATAAAAGTTATAAAAAAAATTAAATAATTACAAATTACTTGAAAATATTTTAAATATTTTCTATTATTTTAATAAAAGTTATAAAAAAAAGTAAATAATTATAAATTACTTGAAATATTTTCAGAAATTTAAATTTTAATTCTAATTCATTTGTAAAACTTTTATTCAAAAAAATATTTTTTTTTAAAGCGAACTGCCTTAAGCGAGTATTCATATACTGCCTTAAAGTACATAAAGTAACTCTATCAAGATTTTTCTTAGGAGAATTAAAAAATTATATTTAAGAATTTTTTAATGAAGTTAAAAATAATCTTTAAAGATGAGGATTTTAATTAAACTACATTAAAAAAATTATTTATGAAGACTTTTTTGTAAAAGTAGAAAATTTATCACTCAAGAATTTAAGATTTTTTTTTATTAAAAAATGCTTAATTAAACTATCGAACATTTTTTTTTCAAAGTAAATTAATTATTAGTTCATAAATTTTTTTAAAGTACAAATTTTTTTTTACTAAAGATCCTTTTCTGCGTAATTAAAGATTAGCCTTCAAGATTTTTCTTAAAAATAGTAGTTAAAAAATTATACAAATTTTAAAGAAATATAATTCTATAATTACATCTTGAGTAAAGATTTTTTTCCGAATAAATAAAAAATTTTTAGTTATGAATTTCTTTTGAAGTAATTAAAGTGTTTTTACATTTTATTTAGGAAAGTATTTTAAAACTTGGGTCTATCAAAATTATTTTTTTTAGTTAATAAAAAAATATCCAAAAAATTTTAAAAGTTATTAAAATTTTTAAATTTGATGCCGATAAAATTATAGATTTAAAGAAAAATTTGCTTTTTGTTTTCTTCTAAAAAAACGATTTTATGCCGTCAAAAAAATCTAGATTCAAAAAGTGAGCTGTATTTAGTGGTCCTTTTTGGTAAAAATACCTTCATATAATATTTATTCACTTTACCTGTAGCTTAATATTTAAAAATTCATAAATTTTTTTTTAAAAGACAAAAAAATTAATAATTTTGTAACAGAAAAATATAAATTTACAAGTTATTCTGCATTTAAATGTGCTTTTGACAAAAAAGGGTTCATTTTTTAAATTTTTTCCATTCATTACTTCCTTGTTATTTATTTTTTTTAATTATTTAAATCAAAATTATTTTTACCAATGTTTAAAATAAAATACTTGTTAGATAATTCAATAAGAGTTTCTTTATTTTACTAATTTTTTCTATGCAGGGAATCATCCTTTTCCCTAATTTTTTTTTAATCTTTCTTGCACTTTTTTGCTAGCGCAAAATTTTTATTGAAAAAAATGATGTTCGAGTCCCGACAAATTTTAGGATTTACAATCCTCATCTTTACTATAATAGTGTACCATTTTTGTAGTGTTACAAATAAAACGTTTTTTTGAAGAAACTTTTTTTTTTATTAAATAATAAAATTGCTATTTATAAGTCGACAAATACAACCGCATTTAGTGACCCTTTTATTATAAAAAGGTTTATCCTTAATTTAATCTTTACACCATTCTATAATAGTGTTACATTAAAAAAGGGTTTCATGAGGGGGTACATAAAAGCAAAAAAGAATGTTTGGAGCTGGCAAAATTCAAAAATTACAGTACATCTTTACTATATACAAGTACCATTCCTGTAGTGTTACGATTAAAAATTTTCTCTAAGGGAAACTTTGTTTAATATATAATTAAATCTTCAATAGAAAACTTAGCGTTACTATAATTTTCTACCATTTTCGTAGTATTACAATAAAAAAAATTATTTTTTTGAAATAATCTCATATTAAATAAATAATAAAATTGCCTTTTGTAAGTCGAAAAAAAAATTAAAATTTAACTGCATTTAGAGATCTACTAAAAAAGATTCATCCTTAATCTTTATACCACCTTTTTGTAGTGTTACAATAAAATGAATTTTTGATGATAAAATTTAAAATTTACATTATTATACATAAGTATCATTTTGGTAGTTTTACTATTAAAAATATTTTTTCTAACAGGAAACATTTTTTAATATATGATAAAATTACAAATTAAAACTCGACAAAATAAATAGTTAACTGCTTTTAGTTGTTTTATTAAGAAAAGGTTCATTTTTAATTTAGTCTTTACGCCATCTTTTCAAAGTTCTACACAATATAGAATTCTTAAAAAACCTTTTTTTAGAAAAAAAAAAATGTAATTTCAAAAGCCGACAGCCTTTAAGGTTCTCAAGACGCATCTTTTTTATAATTTTATATCACTTTGAATTGTTCCAAATATATTTTTAAAAGAAACTTTTGTTTATTGCATTTTTAAAGTTGACAGAAAATTATATTTCAAAGTTTAGCTAAATATTGTTGGTATTGGTAAGAAAACAGTTTTATCATAAAATATCTGATCCATCATTTTGTGGTGTTTAGAGGTTAAAAAGAATCCTTGCCGTATTAAACTGTAATCAGGTAAAAAAAAATTGAAATTTAGAGCTAACAAAAAAAATAGGTTTTCATTTTTTAATTTGGCAATTAGTAGCCTTTTTATTAAAAAAATATTACCAAAATCTCAGAACCATCCTTTTGTGGTATCACACAGGTAAAAAAAAATTAATTTAAAAATTTTACAACAATGGTAGTATTTTGTCCTTAAAAATTATAAAAGTTTCCATATAATTTCCACTTATAACCCCTAAAAAAGCTTCGAAAAAAACTTTTTTAGTAGATAGATACAATAATTTAAAAACTGTTAAAAAAGCTATAAAACACGGATGCTTTGGAATTAATATCACCAACGGCACTCCTTAATATATTCTTTAACTTATAAATTACTTTTTAAAAAAACATGTTAACCTTTTTCAGTTTAGCGCAAGTTACAAGTGGTACACAGCTGAAACAAAGCTTTCTAAAAACTGTTAGAATACTATTCGTTTCGAGAAACTCCGTTTAGCTGAACTTTCCCAGAATAGCAAGAGGCGTGCTTTTCGTTAGTTCTGTTAAATAACAAAACAAAAGTTTTTAGTATTAATATTGTTTTTTATAACTTTATTAGAAATACAAATAATGTGTATTAACTTACATATTGTTTTATAGTTTACTACATATTTCTTAGGTAGTTCCTATGATCTGTTCGAAAGTATACATTTTATAAATTTTTTTATAGAAAAGAGAAAAAATTTATCTTTTTGTTTAATATATTCTAAAGTTTGTTTGTTTTAAAAATTTTTATTACTAATGTGTAAAGTTTATTATTTTTTTGAGTAGTTCCTATTATCTTTTCAAGGGTTGTACCATTTTACAAATTTTATAAAAAAGAGTAATAAATTTCCTCTTTTTTATTATATATAATTTATTTAATTTTAATTTATAAAATTTATATAAATATTGTTATCCTTATATATTTTTCATAAGCGAACTTATTACCTGTCTTGTTGTTGTTATTATTTAGTGTTGTTTTATTTATTGTATAAAGTAAACAATATATTTACTTCATGTTAAAAATAAAAATAATTCATTTTTTATTACTATCATCTAGTTATACTTTTATACCTTATTATAAGAAGTTTATAATCTTTTTGTTTTTATAACTTTTTAAACAAATAAATCAAATTTATGTTTCTTATGATGGTTATTTTATTTTTTTATTTATTTATAACTTAGTGCTGAATTAATATTTATTTTAAAAAATCAAAAGGAAACGTACGTCATGGTTGTTGCTTCTGATTTAAAGTTAGTGTGTGTGTGTGTTTTGCGAACAATCATTGAATATTTTTTAATTTACTCTTAAGGTTATTAGAATTTTACTCCACATCTCCCGGAAAATCTAAATTTCATAACATTTTATTTCGTTTTACACCTTCAAAAAGTGTTTTTAAAGGTTCTTAAGTAAAAAACTTTTTAAAACTTTTAATTTTATATATTTTTTAAAAATTGTTAGAAAAAACGGCAGGCTTTCAGCCTCCTGAAACAGATGCTTCCAGCGAAGATGACTCGGAAGGTAATCGCGGTTTTTGAGTTTTTTGTTTATAATTAATATTTTTATTTATATATACAAGTAGAGATTTGCAAATCTTTATCCAGTAAAACATCTATGACTGATAGTAATTTACTGTCTTTAGTAAAATCTTTTATAATATTTTATAAATTTTTATTATTAGAAAAAAGTCCTCTAAGTTCTCCAGTAGAAAGTGATTTATTCAATTGTTTCTTGCGTTCTTCGAAATTAGAAGTGGCCAAGTAACTAAATATAACTTAGATTTAGATTTTTTTTTTTTTTTTTTTTTTTTTTATAATACACTTATAGAAAAGTTTTGGCTGAGGAAATTAATTTAGGGAAAACTTTGTTAGTTAAGCACAACCAAAAAGAAGAATTTCAATTTCGTAAGTAATTTTTTTACTTATAAAATTAATTATTTTTAAATTTATAACAATTAAATTTTTCAATTTCAATCTCTTAAGTATTTTTAGTACTTGGAAGTTAATTATAATTTTTTTTTTAATAAAATTAAATTTTTCAGTTTAGTTAATTTGTTAGAAAATATATTTTATGAAAAGAATTATTATAATTAAGTAGAATATATTTTTGGTTAAAGTACGTTAAAAAAAATATTATAGACTTGGAAGTAAATTAATTTTTTTTAGAATTAATTTTAAATAATTATATAATATATTTTTTAAAGTTCTGTAAAAAAATTTTCTAATATTTATAGTAAAATAATTATTCAATTTTTATAATTAATAAAAATTAATAATTAAGAAAATCTTTTTATTAAAGTACATAAAGAAAAGAATTTATTCAATCTCGTAAGTAAACTTATAAAAAATCATTTTTAATTAATATTTAAAAGAATAATTAGTATTTACGGGGGAAATATCTATAAAATTAGTAAATTTTTAAGAAAATCATTTCATTCTCGTAATTATATTTTCATTAGTTTATTATTTATTAGAAAATTTATTTTATAATTTAAAAATATTTTTGTCGGTCAAGTAAATTATAAAAAGGAAACTTTTTAACCCATTAAATTTGATTTTATTATTAAAATAAAACATTTTCCCTAGAAGAAAATATTTATAGTAATAATACTGAAGAGGAAAACTCTTTTAATATTCTACTAAACAAATTTGAAGAAAATAGTTTTGAAAGGTTTAAAAATTTATAAAGATGGCGAATATCGATTTTTTGATATTATTATTATTTTTTATAGTAATTTAGTGGAGTTATTAAGAAGCCTTCAAGAAAAAAAAATAGAAATGTTTAGAAGTATAAAAAGTTTAGATGAAAATTTCACGGCGATTAATTCCAAACGCACTTTTATTATAAATCGTATGATGAAAGTAATTATAATTAATTTTTTCCCCCTTTTTTTGCATTATTATTAAAATAAACGAAGTCTTTTCAAAATTATAACGAATTTATAAATGAATCTCAAGGAAATGCACTGAACAGTATTTATGTGGAGGTTTTATCACATTAATTTACTTTTAGTTATTTCTTTTATGGAAATTAAATTTAAGAAAAAATAATTATAATTTAATAATAATTTTTAATTTTCAACTGTATTTATTATTATCACTTTTAAATAATAAAAAATATATTGTAGTAAATTTTTTATTTTTATGCTTTTTTATTATTATTAGTGTTATTAAAGGCAAATTATAAATTTTAATGTTTTCAAATTATATAATTATTTTTATATTTTTTTTTCTTAAAAATAAATAATATATTGTATTTTACTTTCCTTTTAATTATTACTTTTTTTATTATTAAATATTAAAAAAAATATATTTGAGTTGTTATATAAAAAAATTTAATTTTTTAGACTTTTACTTTTAAATTTATATATATTTATTATTTTTATTATTACTATTAAATTTATAATTTTGTATCCGAAATATTTAAACGAAAAAAATAAATTAATATTTTTAAAAATAATTAATTTTAATTGATTTTCTTTAAAATTAATAAATTTGTAATTTTTTTATAAAGTTATTTTAAATAATTTTTATTTTTATTTGTATTTCATTAATTTATATATAAAATACATCATAATTAATTTTTACTTTTGGTGATAATTTTTTATTAAAATTATTTTATAGAAAAAAATTAATTGAATTTTACTTTTAAATTTATATTTCTTTTGATTATTCAAAACTAAAATAAATTTTAATATTTTTTATTTTTATCTTTATAACATTTTCTCTTAAAAAGTATTTTTTTTTTTTACCTGACTTGTAATTATAAATAAATTTATTATTTTTTTAACTGCCCTTTATAAAAAAAAAGTTCTAATTGATTTTTAATGTGGAGCCATAATTTTCTATTTTTATTATATCAAAAGGGAAAAATTTATAATTTTAGTCAATAAAATTTTCAAAAATAACTTCAATTTGTTCATTTTTTAAGATAATATTTTAATTTTTTTTAAGCGTTTAGCGTCGAATATTGAAACACTCAACATCCAACTGGAAGAAAAGTTGAACTTGTTTTCTGATTTTGAGAGAACTGAAAAGTTGCCGTTAGTGAATGCCGTAATTTAAATTTTTTTGTTAAAAAAAAAATGAGAAATATCAAAAGAATTTAAAAGGAAATAAATAATTTTTTCATTATTATATATTAAAAATTAAGCTTTTAACAATATATAAATAATCAATCGGTAAAAATTAAAGCACCAACAAACAAATAAATGAATTAACATTTAAAAAATTTTTTATATAATTTAAACAGTTTTTATTATTTAAAAATTATAATTATTATAAACAACCAATCAACTGGTTAATAAACCACTAATCAATAAAAACATAAAGTTTTTATCATATAAAAAACAAACTCTTAAAACAAATTTATAATGAAATAGTTAATAAATATATAAAACTTCTATTAATAAATTTATTTAGTGAATATTATTAAATAAATATTTATAAGAATTAATAATTTGCATTTAGTAAAAGTTGTAATAATATTTTTAGTAATACTTAAAGGAAAGTAAATAAAAATGTTTTAGAAATTATTTATTTGTAACTTTTTATATTATAAATATTATTATAAAAATTTTTAATAATAAATTTTATACGTTGTAATAAATTTTTTTAATTAAAGTTAAATAAATTTAGTAAGTTTAAAAAAACTTTTTTATATAAAATTATATAATTTTTATATTTATTAAAACTTTTTTTTTATTAATAATTTTTACAATAAAAGTTGATTATATAAAAGTTGTAGTTTAATTTCATAATAATTGTAACGAAAAAATTTATATAGTTTTTATAAACTTTTTTTCTAAAAATATTTATAAAGCTGAATTATAAATTGGCATTAAAAATAATTGTAATAATTTTGTAATAATAAATTTTAAAGAAATAATTTTCTAAAGTTTATATAAATTTTTTATTTATATACAAAATAATAAAATTTATGAAGCTGAATAAAAATTATTTAAAAATTTTTTTTTTGTAATAAATTCTATTCTAATAGTTATTACAAAAAGTAAACATGAAAAAGTTTTATAAACTTTTTTTTTGTATATAATAATTAGAAATTAAATAATTTGAACTTCTTTACTATATAAAAAATAATTTATTAATTTTTATAATTATAATTGGTAGCAAATTTGCTATAAAAAAAAAATCTGTAATAAAATTTTAATAATATTAACGAAAAGTAAATTTTAAAAAAGTTTTTGAAATATTTTCTAAAAGTTTATATAAATTTTTTTTAAGTAAAAAGGTATTAAAAAATTTTCAAATAATAATTACGAAAAAGTAATCGAAATTACTTTTAAGAATTTTTTAAAAAAAAATTTTTTAAAGTAAATATTAAATTAATTTTTTTTTAGATTGTTAAGTTGTCATCCTTAAAAAAACTTGAAAATTTTGAATCACTTTTTCAATCTATTAAAAATGAAAAGTCTCAACTGCTCGCCGCCTCCGAAATGCTTTTAAATAAACTTCTTGTATATTATTATTATTATTAACGATTAAGTTTTACTAAGTTATAAAACTATAATTTTTATTATTTACTTTAAAAAATAAATAAATTTTCTTTTTTAAAAACTTTTATAATTTTTACTTCAAAATTATATGAAACTAAAATACTTACAATTATTATTATTTACTTTGGAATTATCTGACACATTAAAAACTTTCAAAACTTTCCTAAATTTTATTATAAAATTATTTTAACTATAAGAAATTTATTACTTGAAACGAATTAAAGTAATAAAAATACTTTATTAAATTTATTACAAAATTTAATAGAAAATGTTAAAAGAAATTATTGGATTACTATAAAATAAAATCGAAAGAATTAAATTTTTATTTAATATATAAAATTTAATTAAAAATATTTTAAACGAATTATAATTTTTGTCTTTTTAATTTTACTTATAAATTAGTCAAAAGGGATTTAATAATTATTAAATATTTTTATTGAATTTATTATTAAAAAGATATTAAAAACCAGAAAAAAAAAAATAGTACTTGGAATTATTAAAAACGAAATATAAAATTTACTTTAAAATTAATTATACGTATATAAAACTTTTTTAAAAGTTTTATCAAATTTGGTGATAATTAAAAATTAGACAAAACTTATATACCATTTACTTTGAATTTAATAAAACAAATAAAAATTATTAATATTTATTATAAAAATTATTAGAATAATTTTAAATTTATATGTATAATTTACTTAAGAAATCCACGAACTTTACGTTAAATTTACTCAAAATTAATTTAAATAAACGAATCAGAAAATTTTTATTTTTTTTATGAAAATTCAGGACGAATTTAAAAAATTTACAAGAATTACTCTAATATTTAAAATATTAAGCATAAAATGTACTATAATAATTTACAAACTTTTCATTACATTAACTTTAAAATTCATTTAAACGAATCAGAAAATTTATAAACTTTTTATGAAAATTTAGAACGAATTAAAAAATTTTGAAAATTTATTATTACAAACCAAAGAAAATCAACGCCAACAGGAAATTTCCGTTCCAAATATTATTGAAAGTTCTGAAAATAGTTTTAATGAGTTTACGACTTTCGAAGTTATTGGTTTTTATAATAAATTAAAAGAAGTTTTAAAAGTAAATTCTTTATATATTTATTCTTTATATTACTTTTTTTTTTTTTTCAAAAATATTATAATAAACTTTTCATAAATTTTATTTTTTATTATTATTTTATTTTTTTTAAGAAAACTGTAGTAAACTTTTTATAATTTTTATTCTATTTTCCTTATTTCTAATTTGAGAATTTTTTTAAAACATTTTTATTAAATTTTATTTTACTTCTTATTATTAATAATAATAAATTTACAACTTTTTATATTAAACTTTATTTACTTATAATTATAATACTTTTTAACTTTTTTTTACTAAACTTTTTTTTTTTTATTTTTATGATAAATAATACATCGAAAACTTTCTATATTAAAACTTCTTTTTTTCTTATTTTAAATTATAAAACTAATTTTTATATTATTACTAGCAACTCATTTTTTTAATAATTATTAAACTTTACTCTAAACGAATAACTTTTTCGTAATAATCGTATTTTTTAGAGTAAGTAAAATTTTTATTTTTATTTATTATTTTAGAGTTCGTTGAAATATTTTTTATATTTTATTTTTCTTTTATGTTATTTTATATTAATTTATTATAATTTTTATAAAAAATTATCTCTTTCCTTTTTTATTTTTCTTTATTATATTGTTTTATATACATAAACATTTTTATATTACAAATTTTTTTTAAATAAATATATAAAAAAAAGTTTTTTTTTTCTTATAACATTTTTATATTTTTAAAACTATTTTCTTTATAAAAATATAATTTTTATTTTATTTTTATATAAATTTAATTATATTTTTATAGATTAAATAATTTTTTTTATAGTATCATTTTTTATATAAAGTTTATTATATTTTTTTATACTAAATATTTTTCTTTAATAAAAAAATAAAGAATTTTTCTTCTATATATATTTTTTTATTTAAATTTTATAATAAAGTTTATAATAAGTATTTGATATTTCTTTTACATTATTACTTTTTATAAAAATTTTATTATATTTAATTTTACTAAAAATATTTTTCTTTATTATAGAAAAATTTATAAAACAAATTTATTATCTTTTGATTTTTTTTATAATATTATATATAAAATTCAGTTTTTTATATAAAAAATAATAAAATATTTGTAATTTAAAAACTTTTTTATATTCCTTTTTAATTTTTTAATTTTTCTTTAATAATACTATTTATATAAATTTTATATTTTTTTTAAAAATATTTTCTTATTAAAGAAAATAAAACCGATTTATTATTTTTTTTATAAAATATTATTTATATAATTTTTATTATTAATATTTAAAAAAATTTATAATTATAAAAAATTTATGAAAACAATCGCTTCTTTTTTCTTTGCTTTTCTATTATTATTTCGCTTTTTTAATATTTTTTATTTCACTTTTATTATATTTTTTAATTATTTTTTAAAATATATATAAAATAGGAGAGTGAAGAGCAAATTTATTTATTGGAAACACAAGAAAACGAACTGAAAACGTTAAACACCTTAAAAAAAAGTTTAAGGAAAGTGCTAAACAAACAGAATGAAAATAATATTCAAGTTGTTATTATTATTTGTTATAAAGTTTTAAAACTTTATTAAATATCAAAGTTTTTCATGTAATATTAATTTTTTTTTTTTTAACTTTTGATAATAAAAAAACTTTTAAAAATATTTTTTTTTTAGCAAACTCTACAGGAACTTGCCGAGCTCTACACTTTTTATAATGCCAAAGACGCTCGATTGCACGCCGCTTCGTTGCAGTGGACAGCCCGCTTCCTCGTAGAGCGCACTGCTAACGACGCGGTAAAGGAAAAGGCTGCCAATACCGCACATTTTGTGGCACTTGTAACCAACCATAATTAATAGTGACTTTTTTCCCGTCTTTTAATGAATTTTAAATTTTTTTAATCTTTTTTACTTTTTTATTCCTTTTTATTGAAAAGTATTCCAATAAGTTCTTTTTACAATGAAATTTTTTTTATTTTGTTAAATATAAATTTTATTATATAATTATTAATTAACGCATTAAACTATTTATAAAAGGTTATTTTGCTAAATTTTTATATTACGTAATACATATTTAGTATTAGTAATATAAAAAAATTAGGTCACTCAACATCTTTGTTTAATTGTCCTAGCCAATTGTAAAGCTTTTCGTAGTTATCAAATTTAGTATTAATAAAATTATATAAAAAATATCATTGAAAAGCAACCAATAAAATTATATATAATATTGAACAGTTGACCATGCAGGGAAGTAATAATAAATGAGAAATTTACATACAACCAATTAACATTCGAAAATAAATTATAATATTCTTAGTTAATTTTTATTATCAATAGTTTAAGAAGCGTTTAAAAGTATTTTTTTATATTCTCACGTCTAATAATATATAATCAAAATGCTAATAATATATTTATCAATATATATTACAGGTATTACTAAAATTAACAAAAATAAAAAGTTTAAACAGAAGAAAAGTTTTTTGTATAAACAGTCGAATTAGAAAAATAGAAATAAATAAATTCTTAAAAAAAAATTCGATCACTATTAAATCAATAAATTTATAAAGTAACCAGTAAAGTGAAAAATAATTTATTGATGCGTTGATTGGAAAATAACTGAGACCAATCGTTTTAAGAAAAATATTTTATATGAAAATAATAACAATAGTTATTATATTTTATTATTTATTAATTTATAATAATATTATTGTTTTCTTTCTTTATTTTCTGTTTATGTTAAAATCGTTTTAGAAAAGATTATGTTGATAATCGATAAGTTTATATAATTTTTTATTTTGGCTTATATAGTAAATATTTTAATATTATTATTATTATTTACCAAAGTAACTTTTTTTATTTGAATTAGACGTTTTTATTTTTTTCTGTTTACTTGATATTATCATTTTCATGCATAATTTTTCTTTTAATATTAAAGAGAAGTAGGTTATTTTAATATTACAAGAGTTAACTTTTTGCGCTAGCAAAGTTGCTTTATTTTTATTCTATACATTTTTTTTTTGTATTTACTACTTATACTTAATGATACTTTTTGTACGTTTTATTATCATAATAGAAGTTGTTTTTATTTTTAATACTATTTATATACTTATAATTATTATATAAAAAAGTGGCTATTATTTTTTTTACTACTTTTTACTATTATTATTATCTTATTTATATTTTTATTTATTATTATATTATAAATTTACTATTATCTTATTTCTATTTATTAATATAATCTTATTATGAATATTTTCTTTATAGTTATTATAATGCCTATTTGTTATTTACTATTTTTTTTATAATTGTTTAGTATAAATTTTATTGCTTTTATTTTTTCTAATTATTATTATTATATATTAAAGTGATTAGAATTTATTGTTATTATTATTATAAATATTTTTTACTTATTATTACTTAACTTATTTTCAGCTTTTCCAAAATTTTCCTGGAGTTATTCTTTTTTTTCTTAAAGAAGTTTATCGCTTTGCTCCTCAATTGATTCCCTTCCGTTTAACGGAAGACTCAATACCTGTACTTTATTATTACTATTATTATTATAATTTATTATTTATGATTATTATTACTGCTTGAAAGGTCTTTGAAAAAATATCTTTTCAAGGAATTAATATAAACGAAAAAGTTCCTCCAAAAGGTAATATTATTAATATTCATTATCAATATTTATTATTATTATTATTTAGAAAAGGACGAGTTTCGCATTTTTATAAACAAAATCAGTGCCGTTACTTCGTTATTTTGCGCTTTACTTGCTGTACTTTTATTATTATTATTATTATTATTGTTATATTATTGTTATTATATTTCTGTTATTGTTATTATTATTGTTATTGTTATTGTGATGTATTATTATTATCACTATTACTACTTAGTACGATTGTTATGAGCCTCTGGACACTTCGCTTTGCTGGTTTTGGCTATCGGCAGTTTGCAATAAGAAACTCGATAAGACGTTCGCGTACTTATTGCAAGTGTTTTTAGAAGTACGAATGATTTATTATTATTATTATATAAAAAATTGGTTAAAGTTTAGAAGTCAAACATTGAAAAAATATCTACTGAAAATAATATTATTAAGTATAATGAGAAAAGTTTGGATATTTAAATAAAATATTGAAAAAGTTTTATTATAAAAAGAAAAAGTTAAATTTTTTATTACTAAAAATAATAATTAATATCATGAGAAAAGTTTTATAGGGAAAAGAATATAATTAATAAAACTGTAAAATATATTAAAAAAACGGAAAAGTTTTATATTAAAAAAAAAGTTAAACTTTTTTTAACTAAAAATAATAATAATAAATAACGAAAAAAGTTTTATCAAAAAAAATATATATTAACAAAATAATAAAATTTTATAATAAAAAAAAGTAAACATGCAATAAAACCTTACTATTATTTACTCTTAAATTATTTATTTATTATTAACCTTTTTGTGTTTAATCAATTTTTCTTTAAAAAGTTTGCAGGAAAAAAACTTTGCGAAAAGTATAAAAAACAGTTTCAAAAAATTTTGTATTATATAAAAGTAAACCTGATAAACGAGGAAGAGTGCCGGAAAATCCGTTATTTATTACTATTACTATTATTTATTACTATTACTATTATTTTTTTTAGAGCTCGAAGACGGAGTTGTAAGAATTTTGCATAAACTCATTAATGATCTAAACGTTTCAGCCAAACCTGTTGGTTATTATTAAAACAATTAATAAATTTTTATATTTAATTTCATTGGCGCCTTTTAAACCAATAGGATTAATAATAAAGCATAACTTTCTTTTGTTAATTAAATTTTAAAGAAACTTTTATAATTTATTTATTTTGCTACAATTATTTGCCTCATTATTATTATATTTAATTTTATATCGAGAAATTGGTTATAACAACTCTAGAAAATAATTGTTGGCCCTTTTCTAATCCTTCAACCCTCTTTGACTCATCCAAGTGATACTTTTTTATAATACTAAATAAAATTTACAGAAAGTAGCATCGTGTTCAATAGTAATATTTATCTAATACGGTTTCATCATATAAAAAGCGTAAATGCAAATTTGTATATCTACTTAAGGTAGGTATAATACTACTTATATGATTAGGAAAGATATATACCTAATAAACCCACTTTACCGCAACAGTGCCTTCAGGAAACAGAAGAGAAAATTGCTATTTCTATTTATAAAACTGACACACCCAATTAATAAATACTTGAGGCCAGAAATAACACCCACAACAGCCAAGATTGCTCAGTAATATCTACAACACTAGCAGCAACCCGCTATTAAAAGGCGAGCTAATGGCGCAGCTTGCTGCTTCCCACGAAACAATTGCTGAGGAGATAAGTCAAGTCAAGGGAATTTAAAGCTGGTTGGTAGGCCTACTTCATTACGCATTTTGCGACCTTTGTAGTAAAATGTCAACTGCGAGGGCTGTTGAAATCGCTACAACGTTAAAGCAAATGTCCCGCTGGAAAACGAGGCATACCCGTCGTTCTGCAATTTCAGTGCGACTTCTCAACTCTTTTTAAAACGCGAAAACGGCGCAGCTTCCCAACTTTTCACCAATCCGCTGATTTATAAGCACTGTTACAACGCAATTCTATCGTTATTTTCTGTGGCAATTTTAGTTGCTCAACTGCTTTAAGTGTCGAGTGAAGAACGTGAATTGGAGAATACTTTATGTCTCTTACCCGTACTGGCACCTTAATAACACCTCACTTATCGAAAACTTGCACATGAGAGTTACTCGGCATATTAGTCACTTTTAAGATATTGTTTAATGGTGAAAGACATCTAATTTCAACCAATGAGATGCTAAATTTATTGCCGAAGGTTCGATAAGCCTTGGCCTGCCTTGCAAACTCTGCGATGTCGCTCGGCTCATTTTAAGGGTTAAAATTTAGATCAGACCTTGGAAATAACGCTATTAAAGACACCGCGTGCCATACTTCCGACCCCCAGAAATATCGCGCAAGTAAATTGCTCCCATTAATTGGACAACTGTCAGTTTCCTTGTGCTGCACCAACTTAACTTGTTCAAGGAGGGCCTAGGGCGTTGTTAGAATCCCATAGTACAACTACTCTACGACACAAAGATTATTGCTTCTCGTCAAATGGGTGACTTATTGCTTCGACTTAACGCCGAGAATGGCAGCCTACGCGCCTTAAAATTAACAGATCAGCACCTTTTTCGATACTTTTAAACAATCGCAACCGATGTGTCGGCAATGGGACACTATATCAAACGCTATAATAAGCAAAGCGTTCTTTGTCTTAAAGAGTCTCACATGATACTTTTTCAGCTTCTCTCTTATAATAATACGCTGTTGACCTCACGAGGCGCACATTGTAGCAAAAAGCAGCTCCTTACCCGCCACTAAGACTATGCTACTCTGCTCACACATGATGGTGCATGACTTAATATGTCATACAATTCACTTGGTTGGACATCGACGAGTCGTAAACTGTGACGGCACTGCAATAAAGCAAAAGTAATTTCTAGTTCGCTGACTAGTGCGTAACGGTTCTCTTTATAAATGACTTGGTTTGTAAATTAATTTTCCAAAGGCGCAGCCATGGCTCTCTACGTAAAGGGAAAAGTGTACCCATATTGACGTTGGGCAATGGGCTTCCTACAAGTCTTAAATAGGTGCACGATATTACCGCACTTATAACGTTTATAACTAAAACTATGTGAGCAAGTAAGAACTCATCAACAATTACGTTTACTAAGCAATACACGTGAGTGGTTCTTGCCTTCATTTCTCTTCCATTTTATTCCTTTTATATTCCTTTTGCCTATCATAACGCACTTAATACAATTTTTATTTCCCTGTCTTGTTAAGTTCCTACACCCTCCTTGCGTAGTCCTGAAAACTAAAATGCAGCACCTGGGTTAAACGTGGGGTTAAAGTGAAAGTTAGAACGACTAACTGAAATGGTTTACGCTTAAAACCATATCTAAGCTAAAATATTTTTGAATTATCTAAACTCTTGATGGTATACACTTAATCAGTCAAGAGTAAGCCACATTTTAAAATCTATAAATTCCTACGCTTAAATAAAAACGCTGGCGGTTACCGTTCCAAGTAGCTGTTCGCTTGGCAATTGTGTTGATGAAAGTTATACTAAAACTTGTTGAACGCTAAACATGATATTTGGTTTTATTTGGTACTTTTTTTTATTATCATTTATTACAACCCAGGCATAAGTACTCTGCGCTTAAGGATGCCGAACATTGCACAAGTTGCTACTGATAAAAAAAAATTGTGCTGGCTTTTATCTTTTTGTGTTTCGCAAAAAACGTTGTTTTATTTTAAAGGGCTAAAGCGGTATTAAACCTGTATGTCTAGTAGAAGTAGTTATTTTGAAAACTTGATAGCCAAGAGAATCCTCAAGTGAATACACCGATTTCAAGTAGTACAAGACATTTCTTAATGGGAAGTAAAATAAAATTGATAATGTTTTACAGAAAGGTTTTAATATAAGCATACTTCAACAGCCTTCCTTTTTGGTGCTGAACCCTGACGCTAAACATTATATTTGCTTCTTTAACGAACTTTGTAAGGTAATTGCAAAAGTAGTGGCGTCTATTTTACATAACCTGCAATTTTAATTAAAATTAAAATGGAATTCTTTTAACGTGTCTTGTAAATCAAATTCTTCTTAGGTTAAAAAACTACTATTGAGCTGCAGGAGATAAAGTATAAGCCAGCGAGCTTACTTTTGCAATATATATTACTTTTATAATATGAAATATAGAAATTTACGATTCAATATCCACACACAAACGCGTATAAAAAATTTATTAAAACTCTAAAGCTCTGATTCATGTAGTTTCCTGTTAGGTTTTTCGTTTTTTCGACTGCCTCCTTATCCACTTAACATAGAGTTTTTAATCTCTTTGAAATTTTGCTATAGTTACGTCTCGTAGACACAAATGTAAAGTATATGAATTATTAACACTATAAAAGGAAACGCCGACTACCATTCCACTAGAATTATCCTTTTTTTGACGAAACAAAATTAGTAAAATGAGTTTAATTATCTGTTAACTCCTTTGTACGTTCCACTAAGTAGTAAACAACTAGCAATTCTAAACTTTACTTTTTTTTTTAAAAACTTTTCCAGTTTATTAGCAGTTTTTAAAAATTAGAATTCTATACTTTAACTTACCAAAACTTTTATTAAGCTTCCTTATTTTAGTTTAAAAAGGGCCACTGGGTAAACTTTCACCTCTATAACTAAGGAAATATTTTTTCTTCTAAAGTACCTATCACCCCATAGATTATAAAGCGACATGCTCTTTTATATATTCAAAAAAAAACTGCAGCAAAACTCTGTGACTATGAAAAGAGCTCGTATGCTACTGTCCAATTGTGATTTTGGCTAAACTTTTAATTCTTCTTACAAAGCTTCTCTGGACTGAAATTTGAGAGAGTTCTTTAAGTCATTCAGTCTCGCTACTTAATTTACCTTTGCTTCAAAAAATAAAAAAATCACAATTTCTCAGAACGCTTTTCAAGTTGATCTGACTCATACCTAAAGTTAGATAATAACAATAAAAGAAAATACTGGTAACATAAGTCTAAAGCGAGATAACTAAAGGAATCAAATATGTAAAATTGGTTAGAACAACCACAAATACAAGCAAAAAACTTAAAAAATATGTGATTCAAAAACTTCGCTAAAATTATCTAGGCTCAAAGTTTAAGTCCCATATAGAAGTAAATATGAAAAAGGTTCAACACTTAATGTTATATTTACTTTGCATGTCTTATGCAGTTTAATATCCTGATAAGACCGGGCTAATGTAGAACTTTAACTTTTATATTCTATAAGTCGAAATAGGATAATTATAGACTCGAAGCAGGCCAAGTCTTTAAAGTTTGGTGTGAAATTAGACTAATTTGCTTATTTATTTATGTATTTAATTATTTATCCATAAATGATGTTTCTTGGTGCATGATCGAGTTAACAACTATGGATTATTGCACTTATTTTCCATCATTCGCACTTTGCACCCTAGGATCCGTGAGGGGAGCGCAGTACGTGGAAGTGTCACCCGTCGCAGTTTTAAAGGGGATGAATTTTTTTCCCTTAAATACGAAATCCGGAAGACCGCCTTTAAATTATCATATCCTCCTTTAACGAAAAGAGTTGTATTAAAAAAAACACTTAAATTTTAATTTTTATAAGTATAATCTGTAAAGCGAGCTACCATATAAAATATTAAATTAGTTCTAATTTAATAATAGTAATACAAGTATCAGTACCTAAATATTAATATCTGCTGTTTTTAACAAATTTTTAGATAATATAGTTAGGATCTAGCCTCGCATCTGCAAACCAAATTTCATTAAATGGTTTCATTATATAATAAATAATTAAAGATAGCAAACTTGAAACAGTTTTTATAAAATAGCGTATCCAGCAATAATTTTCTTTTCAAATGCTACCATATATATACATAAACGTGTAGTTTTATCAAAAAAAAGTTTAAAAACCCTTTGTTTTTTACTCTAGAAGTAGGGGCGTGGCCTCGCTATTACACTTTGTTTTGTTCTTTTTTTTAAGATTGATTCAAATAAAAAAAATGGACAACTTATCAACTATTATACCGGAGGTTGTTAGTCAGCATACGCAAAGTATGCTATAATTCTAGAGATTTATGAAGATAACCTGCTAATAATTAAACAGCTTCAAATAGAGTATTATTACTAATCTAATTACTAACCTTAATCCAATGGGTATATAAAACTTTTATTTAGCGCTAGTAGAAAAAACTAGCTTGTTTTTCTTACCTAAAGAGTTTTGTTCTACAAAATAATCTTTCCTTAAACATACCTCAATTAAGGGTGTAAAACAGAATCTTAATAATAATTCAGTTTAAATTATTTATTACTAATAAAATAATAGTTTTTTAGGTTACTTGAATTAAAGTACTTATATAACAATTAAAGGTAACTCGCTATTTATAATAGATGTTTATGAAATTAGAAGCTAATTTTTTTTTTTTACCGCTGTAAAGGTAACTTTCCAGTGGAAATACATCGGTAGATGTAATGCATCTACCATATAATAAATTTTAAAGGATATAATAGCGTGAACAATAATTTAACTTAAAAAATATATATATTAAACTCTTATAAGCAATAACCACGTTTTAAACTTCAACTTTTCATGTAAATCAGTAAAGAAAACGTCAAATTTTTTCCCCTTAACTTCCTTCTGGCGTAGTTTTCATCATTTAAAGTAGTGATCTTATCAATTCAAATAAAGATTTGCAAATATATCTACAGTTATTGGCTCTGCAATTAAGAAACCGCAAATTCTTATACATCTCTCCTTTTCGTAGTTGGTTAAAACAATGCCTTATTAATAAAATTATTAGTGGCATAGTATTTTATTGGCAACTTTATAAAAACCGTTTAAACCAATAAACTTTTTACTAACAATAATTTCTTAAAAAAACTTCTTTTTCTAAAAAGGACGGATGGATATGAGAAGATACGCAGCTAAGAAAAAGCGTAGGGCGCGTTTTATATACTCAGGGTATCAAAATGGTGGTGTAACTTTTAACCATAACCTAAAAGTGTTAAAATAATTTTTTTTAAAATGTAAAACTCCAATATAATAATACCGGTATTTGTAAAAGTTAAAGGTTTAAGATCATATCCACTCCTAAAATTACGCTCGTTTTGCGAGCTACAAACTAAAATTAAGTTACTTCTCAACTCGCAATTAAAGTAAAAGTTTTAGAAAGATTTAACATTAATATCTAAAATTTTACCTAACAAATTTTAAAATTAAACTTTTTTGTGCAATCACAAGAGAGTTTTTTAACATAAAAAGCCTTGTGGCTGATACCTAGTTTTTTATTAAAAATAAATGACATTTGTATATAGAGCTTCAGATCTGCGCTTCCTGTTTGCTAATTAATGGTAGCGAAGTTGAGAGGTTTTTTGCAAGTTGACTTTAGCTCGATTGTGCGACTGACACATCCTAAGGGTATAATTCTTGCTTTTCGTGGTACACTAACCTAATTAAAATTTCATTCAAAGGATGGAAGGCGCCTCTACCTCAACCACTTTGGTTAATAGTTTTGATGTAAATGGAATAATTATGTGCAAACCTGGGCCGCTAAGAAGACTTTCTTGGAATGAAAATGTCGCTGAGTTTTCAAGGGACAGAGATTTTACTCAGTTAACTGAAAAAGAAAAACTCGACGTTTTATACTCTATTCAATATAAGCAATTAAAAACTATGATGAGCCTCAGATGTAAAATTGCCAACCGGAAATTCTCCCAGTATTATTCATAGTTTATGTAAATGAAATATAATTGATGTGTATAATTACTATAAAAAGTGAATGTTAATAAACTTACTGCTGGTTATGCCTATTCAACTACTTTATATGTTTACTTTTTTATTTAATTAGTGTATGCTAGTTGTAGCCTCAACCCATAATAGTAGTGTACAAAGTTATGTTAATTTTTCTGACGAATGAGATGTTAAAAACTGCCACACCAAAACATTACACTACGTGACAAAAGTAATGCGCCACCAAATAAAAAATCAAAACTTTAAATTTGATTAAGGTAACAATTAAAAAATCTCTTTTGATGTGTATATATAATTTTTTTGGTTTATATAAAATTTTAGCGGAGCAGGAAAAAAGTTATGTCCGACACAACGTCTAAACACGGGCCCCAGGCATTTTTAGGTGTGGTCTGAAAATTTTTTGGGAAGGGGTTTTTATTTACTTGCTTAGATTGCAGCATCAAAGGTAGTCTTTTTTCTACTACCGATATTAATACTTCATTTTTTATCTGTCGATAGTGGCCACCCGTAAAACTATTCCTTAGGCGGCATAATGACTGCTCTGATAAACTAAAAGATGTTAAGGGAAGACTAAAACCGCCCCGATCCAAAGCCGCTAAAAATCGCTATAAGGAAAGGCTGCACTTTTTATAGACCTCGAAAACCTTCAAGGGCCAGCCTGAATAGCTAGTGGAACTTCACCGATAATCACCCCATCGTGGGGACAAACTATACCCAATTACGGTAACTGCATTTTAATTGTTCTTGTTAGGTTTAAACTTTTACCTTGCCTTGAGCAAACCATCTTCCCCTTTTTCCTTGTGTTTTTTAAAATAAATAACTATTAAAGGGCAAGTCTAGGTGACAAAAACTTATTGTGGCTTATTTAGTGTTAAACAAATTAATGATTATGGTAAGCCTTTCTTGTTGACAAATAAAAAAGCAGTAAATATGATAAGTGCAACAAGCGCTTCTATTTCTAATAAAGTAATAAGCTTAATGAAAAAAAATAACAATAAAAAACTTTGAAATGAGAAAAGGAACAAAAACTCTGAGACAAGTTTAGAATAGCATTGGCTAATTATAATAATACATCCATGTAAACTCTATAGTCCACTTTATTTAAAAGAGCGAATTAGAGAGCAGAACACTCTAAAAAAAACTTTTTCTAAAACTATTAGTAGCGGTTGACTATTAACAAACCACTTGACATGGCGGCGTAGACGTTGTCCTCTTCAAGCCGTTATCGTCCCACACATTTGTTAAAGCAGTTACAAATTGCTCGATAAGCGCTGGGCCATGATAAGGCGTGGGAGTCACTCTTAAGAGTTCACTTCCTCTTGGAACTGTGGGATAGTTTATACTTTGCACGTAAATATCATGCTTGTTTAAAAGATCGTCCGATACTTTACGGCACAGCGCAGCGTCGCCAACAATAATTGGAATAATATGACCAGGAGACTGGACTGTGGGAATCCCAACTCCCTGAAGATGTTTCTTTAAAGCCTCAACGTTTTTGACTTGGTACTCTCTTTCAAGATTATTTTCTTTTAAGTAACGGACGGAGGCTATGGCTCCCGCGACGATGGCAGGCGGAAGCGAGGTTGTGAAAATAAATCCCGGAGAGTAACTTCTGATAAAATCTACAAGGTTTGCTGACGAGGCAATATACCCACCTATGACGCCAAATGCTTTTCCTAGTGTACCAGAAATAATATCAACTTTGTCTTGAACGTGACGGCCAAGACTCTCAGATATACCGCCGCCCGTAGCGCCGTACATGCCAACGGCATGAACCTCATCAAGGAAAGTAAGGGCATTGTACTTGCAAGCAAGATCGCAAATGTCCTCGATCGGAGCAATACGACCCGACATAGAATACACAGATTCAAATGCCACGAGTTTTGGTGAGTTAAGAGGTAATTGTTTGAGAATTTTTTCTAAATCCTCAACGTCGTTATTTTTAAATATATATTTCTGACAACGACCGTTACGAATGCCTTGAATCATCGAGGCATGGTTAGATGCATCCGATATAACAATACATTCCGGTAAAAGTTTGCATAGAGTAGTCAACGTGGCATCGTTTGCAACAAAACAAGAGGAAAACAAAAGTGCGCTCTCTTTTCTATGGAGAGTTGCGAGTTCAGTTTCTAGAACTTCGTGAAGAAGGCCATTTCCACATATATTACGAGTTCCTCCAGAGCCAGCGCCGTGTAAACGGAGAGCCTCTCTGAAGTTTTATACATTTATTATAAATATTTAAATTAAGTGGAGAGGTTGTAATAAAAATAAATATAAACCTCATAGCATCAAGCACAACTTCATTTCGGCTCATTCCGAGGTAGTCATTACTACACCATACAGTAATAATTTTTTTAAGTTTGGAGTTTCTGGCGTAAGGAAAGTTTTCAGCTAAACGATCGACACTATTAAAGGTGCGGTAGGAGTGATCTTTTTTCTTTTCAATAATTTTATTTAAAAAAAAGGTTTCATAATTAAAACGATTGGTGTCTATCTTCCCTTCACTCGATTTCTTCTTATTTTTCTCTTTATATTGTAAAAAAGGGCACTGACGAGGGATTTTCACTCCTTCATTAAGCTGAACTAACATCTTAAAAGCCCGGTGGGCTTTTTCTTTTTCTGCGTTAACGTCTTCGTTTTTAACTATCGAAGTTTCTTTCAAAAGTAAGTTTTCGTGATTATCTTTATTTAAATAATGACGGTTCCCTAACTCGGAAGTAGCAGTTTCCTTTATGTAATTACAGTTATTAGCATTTAACTTCGAGAAGTTACTTATTGTGCTAAAAACTTTTAGTAAAACGTTAAGACTCTGTAAGAAAGGACAGTGACCTGCATGTTGCAAAGTTGGCCTTAGCTTATAATGTCTTAAAAAAGGACAATATATAGTAAATTTCTTTAAACCCGGATCCATATATCTTAAAGGGGTATACCAATTTTTTAAAGGCAATCTGTTTTATAGGTGATAAATATTCTAAACAATTAAAAGCACAAAGGGCACCTCTAACGTGGGATTTTTTTAAGTTGCACATTTCATTTATGAGTGGAAAGTTAATTTTTATATATTCACCATTAAACAATGAAGATATAAAGGGTTAAAAAAAGGTTAAAGGACTAAAAAAAAAAGATTTTTCTTGTGTACGCTTTTAAAACGTTAATTAACAAAAATTTGTAACGGCAGCAGAACTCATTTTAAGGTGGTACAGGTGCCTGGATATAAACAATTTTACATAAAAACTAAAGTGTTAAATCAAAAACTAACACTTATTAAGTTCGTTAAGTAACCATTAATTTTTTTAATAAGAAATAAACTAGAAAACACCCACTAATTTTCTAATAAAATAAGATTAGAAAGTACTACACAAAAATGTATTTAATTGTTTACCCTTCATGTGTTCATAGTAAACCAATTCAAATGCTTTAACCAGTGCTATTCTTCCTTAGCCTTGTATCGATAAAACTTTTATTCTACATTTTAACTAACATTAAATGTATAACTATTATTTTGGTTTCTAGACGCGCTCTAAGAAGATTAGATTTTACTGATTTACACATATTCGCTTTGTTATTGTAAGCAAGAAACTCGGTGCTTAGGATAATAATATATGATATAGCAAGTATAGACCGAAGATTATAAAAATTATAATTATTAGTTTTTAAGTGGTAGAAGCCATAGATATAAAAATACAAAAATACAAAATATATTAACTTGAAAATACTACTTGGACATACTTATGTTTAACAAAAAATAATTAAAACTTAACATCGTTTTCTTTAATAAAATACTTTTTGAACCAACCCAAGTGCACATAAGCCGGAGTGCAATTCTTTAATAAACAATAAACTAATTAAAAATAGAATAAAGCAAAATGAATGTACAGAAATATTCGCCCACTATTCTTTAACCAGAAGGATAATAATTAATATAAGCTTAGCTAAAATATATATAAGGGTAAATAAATAACTAACAGACTAAACGGTAAAGCACTATTATTACTAATTACTTTCATCATATCAATAGTGATATGAGAAGCTGTAGGAAGCATCCTTCTTCACATTGTTAGTAAATGCTGAATCATTTGAGAAAAACGTATTTTAAAAGACATTTATTTTAGATAAAAATAGGTAACTTACTCCGCGTACATAGTTATCACGATCATATTTATAACAATACATTGAATACAATGTAATTTACTATACGTATACTAAAGGAACAAATCAGAAAATTTGTTGGCTTAATTTTATTTTCTTCTAATAAAAATTTTATAGTCCCAGATGATTACGCTTAAAATTTTAAAGTATTAACAGTTAATTAAGAAATTATAATGATAAAGTGTACCGACTACGAATACTATTAAAAAAACTTTTATAGGACTTCTAATATGCTAAAATTGGCTATATGGTGAACTTTTTAGCGTGTGTCGGAATAATACCCAATAAAACTTTAGGCGAGCTCAGAGATCTCAAATAGTAGTAGAGGTGTATAAAAAATAAAAAGGAAAGTCAGATAAAAAGCTTTAATGCAGTATATTAATATTATATAAAATATTAAGGTTTATATATGTTTTATTATTATTGGTGCTTTTTTTTAAATACTATTGAGAACGGGGGAAAGGGGGGGTTAACAGCTCATAATTTACTTAATACTAAAGCGTTTGTGTATAAAGAAAAAATATTACGCTTTGATATCAAAACTTAAAATAAGTGTTTTAGATGAATATAAAAGTTTTATTATATTAACCGCTTTTCTTCAATACTATTAAGAAGGGGAGGAATTCAAGGCTTTAAAGTACTTAATAACAAAGTATTTATATATTATACACAAATACATCAGGAACAAGCTTTCGTAGACAGTGTTTAAAATAAAGATCACCTTTTACTTAAAGCAGTTTTTAATTGTATAATTACAATTTTCTAGGCACAAAATAATTTGTTGTACCTACGGCAAAGAAAAAAAAAAGTACAAAAAATTCAAGGCATCTAGTCCCTATACTTATAAGTTTATACCTCCATTTTACCTGTTTACTGTTAGTAAAATATGTTGTGATATTAGTAATTAAGCGGTTAGAAAGTTTATGAATTAAATTTAAGGCACGACAATTAAAAATTTTTAGAAAGAAGCTTTGTATAGGGCAATAAGCTTGAAAATTTACTTTTGATACTTTTCGTCAAGGTCTTCAAAAAGAATACACGTTCGTGCGCATAAAAGAATCTACAATTAGGATTTTTGTTTTGTGTCTGTTTTAAGCTAACCCTGTTTGGGGCCACTGAAATAGTAAATTTTCTTTAATAGCTAAAAATTTTTATAAAGAATAATTATTTAAGGTGGGATTTTTAATAATTATTTCTATTTAATTCATATATTAATACAATTTATAATCGTTAGTCTCTACCTTACTTTTAGCTTATGAAATTAGAAAAAGAAAAAGTTAGCCCATCACGCTAGTATGCTCAGTTAGCCAATGGTAGAAGTTAAGCAGTGTGTAAAAAACTTCGAAGTCAATTTTTAAAGTTGAAAAACTTGAAATACACAAACTTTTTAATGTTATTACAAACGTGAAAATAACAAACTATGATGCGTAATTATGATGCATAGAGACTAGTATTTTAGCATTAAAGTCACTCCCAATGGCGAGTCTCAGATACGGGCTCTTACGATTAAAACACCGTGAAGTAATATGGAGCTCACAGAGAGTCTAAACGATGGATATATTAAATAAATGCAGGTTTGAAAACAAAAAAAAATAAAGTAGTACAATAAAATTCAAAACTGAATAAAGTGGAAAGCTGTGTTTAAAATTAAAAAACTAGGATATGAAACAGTGCTATAACCCTGAAGAGAAAACAAGAACCCCTTTATGATATAAAAATATCTCGGTAGTGGGGTACCAAGGATATTAAAAATCCCCCTTTAACACATCGTAAGGGCCGCCTATCATTAGAATATTACAGCAGCTGTGATAAGCATAGTACATAACAAGGTTTTTTATCAAGCTACGATGACATACGAAAGCTCGTGTAGCTTGCAGACTCAAACCATAGGCGCAGGCAGGGGGGTGTAAGTATTGCCGTATCTACAGTCGTTGCCAATTCCCTAAAGTAAGTTTAATATTACTGCACAGCACGGAGTACAAACGATTGTGTCTCGCATTAACTTCGACTAGCGGTAGGCTACGAGTTTCGCGCGCTATATGTATATATATCCTAGTGACCAACATTATCATGGTACAGTGCCTATACTATATACCAGCTAATACTCTATAGCAACCAGTACTATTCAACTAAGCCCATACTCAACACGAGGCGAGTCAGAGCACAGCAGATAATACAGTTAACTAGCAACTAGTATATAGTACAACTACTATACCGCACCGGCTCGTAAACTTTTTTTAAAGATACCCAAGAACTTTCATACAGTTTTAGTCCTACCTGAGGTTGGGAGACAATGCGTTATTCTTTTCTTACCCATACTGGCTGTAGTTCTTTTAGGATGGCTTTAGTTAGGAATAAACTATGTTAAAGAATTTTAGGCAATAGTAAAATCGATTTGGATGGTCGAATAATCGTTGTATCTTATTACAGAAAGGGGGGTATAAGTAAAGACTACTGTGAATTATATCTTAAGCATTTAAATAAAAAGTTTATTTTATCTTCTTTTTCATGTGACGTTAATATTAGTTTTATTTAAATTTTTTTAAAATATCACCTTTATATATATAAATAAGTTAACTCTTCTATGGCGGTGAACTTTAAATAAACTTAAAATATTTGTTCTTTATAGGCCCACGCACCTCCTACCAAGCTTATTGCCTTAACTTCTGTCCCTAGAGTGGAACGTCGAAAGATGTGTATGCCACCAGCGAGTTCTCTTTGGAGTTTTTGACAACTGTCTTTCATTGCCTATATAATTTTTATTTTTATATGCACTACTTGCCTTTTATAAAACCGTTTTATAGGGAATGTCTTTTAGATTTGTTTTCAGACCTTCTTTTCTTGTGTTAAAAAAACGCAAACTTTCCTACCTTTTTGAGGGTTTTTTCCTTAAATTATATTATAAAAGGCCATATACTATCAATAATTTAAGTATAATTAAAGATATTGATAAAATAAATTTTGACAGTGAAAAAGCTAAACTTCTCTCTCTTTTTCGGGAAATAAAATCTCACAAAAAGCCTACACCTTTAATTTTAAAAAGTGTTGCAAGTAACAGCAACTACAGTTGGAAATTAAAAGAAATTTTACTGCGCTTTTATATTGTAATAACGGGTTGCTGTGCTTACAGCGTTTTTTCGGATTATGTCTTTGAGTTTTCTATGGTAAAACTTTTATTTTTATTTATACTGAAGTATACGTTCCAGATGAACATATTTTTTTCAGTGTCAAGGCCTCTCTATGCTTCCTACTTTAAATGAGAGAGGAGACATTGTAATAGTCGATCATATATCACCAAGATGGCGAGGCTATCAAGTAGGGGATATAGTTTTGTTATCGTCGCCGGTGGGCTCACATTCCAATAAAAACATCTGCAAAAGGATCACAGCTAAGGTTAGCTTTCTGTCCAGCATAACACTATGTTATTTTTAAAAATATCAACTTCAAATATTGATACTATTGATATTTGTGGATGTCTGAAACTTTACTTAATATTCATACATACTAATATATCAAAAAAATATAAGCAAAACGATATTGTTCGAAATACTAAAGGGAAATTTCAAGAAGTTAAGGTATTTTTAAGCATGTTTTTATACTATTAAGTTAAACTTTCCAAACAAGATACCTTCTGGGCATGTGTGGATTGAAGGAGACAACCCCTATAATTCAAGAGATTCCAGGGCATTTGGCCCGGTCCCGTTAGGGCTGGTAAAGGGGAGAGTCGTAGCCAGAGTTAAACGATTTTTACTATATTTTTTATTAGTAAAGCTACTAAACTACAATAAATACTGACCACAGATTTGGCCGCTCAGCAAATTTACATTACTATAATGAAAACTTTTCTCGAGCGTAGAAGAAAAAATAATTTTTATTACTTTAAAAATTTATAATAAATTTTATTATTTTCAGTAAAGGGCCAAACGGTATAAGCGTTTAATATACTATAAAATTTTACCGCTAAACAATCATTACTGTAATAAAAACTTTATTTGGACTCAAAAGAATAAAAATTTAAAATAGGCTTTATCCTTCTTTCAAAGAAAAGCCTACTCGCATAAGCGTGTAATATCTTACTTCGCAAGCCTCCACCAACTCCGAATTTACTTCTCCCTCGAACAGCTCTAGCGCAGCAGCCACAAATGGAGATTTCGTTTTCGTTTCGGGATGCCTATAAACCACGCGAAACAAGAGATCGTCCGATTCAATATTCCAGCCAATCGCTGGCGGCGACGAGGACGGCTTTGTGGTATATTTATTTACCGGGAAAGTTTTGTAGATTTTAGTAAAAAATAAAGTTCGCTCTTGAGGCGATTTTTTTAGCAAAAGTTCTTCTAAAAGTAAACGACTGTCCTCAAGAGTTAAATTTGAGATTTTTTTACCCAGTGCAGATTTATTTAAAAGTTTGCCATCTACGCAGCTTAAATCATGAATCTCTAATTTCAAGTTTAATATAATAAACGGAAAATATACTGTAAGTAAACTTAAAAGAAAGACAAATAAATAAATTAAGCAAGTACCTTTCTCTCTTCCTAAAGATGGGAGTTCATATTTCGATACGTACGAATAAAGCGCTCGTAACTTATCCGTATTGTTAGTTGTGTCCAACCCAAAAAGTGAAAAAAAAATTTCGTGGAAATTCTTTTTAAATATTTGCTTAATTATGTTTAGTTCATGTGTTGATAAAGATTCTACATATTGATGAACAAATTCAATTAATAAAATAAAGTAGTAAAGCTTCTCACTTAATAATATGGAAAAAATATGAAAAGTAAAAAATATTTTAAAATAATAAAATTAAAAAAAAATTTAAAAAAATAAACAGTTAAAGAACTTCAACTAGAAACACAATATACTACAGTTTAAATAATTTTTATAAGCCCGATAACTTACAAAAAAGAACTAAACTAGTTAAAATTAATTTATTAGTAAGTAGTTTTAAATAGTTAATAGTAATAAAATTTAAATATAAACAACTATTTCGTTCCCTAAAATAATAAATTAAGTCGGCTTAAATTATAGATTCCTTACAGGAAGATGATTAACTATTTTTTAAAAATAATTTCATAAATTAATTCCATAAATTAATTATACTCATAATGCACAACTCTAGATCAGCTTCATTTAATTTGAAAATTTAAAAGTTAACAAAATTCTTTAAAACAATCAAAAATAACGAATAAAACTTTTATAAAGTTATCACCTTTTCGGCTTCTTTGCAAGCTAGGGGCGGGAGTATGACTTTTACCTATATCCACGGTAATAATATTCGAATCCTTTTTCGAGCCAACATCCTTATTTTCTAAAATAATAGTATTTTTACTTTCTTCTTTTTGGGTACCAAATTTTTGACCGCTGAAGGGACAAAAGGTTACATAAACTGCAGGACTAAAAGATTTATAAAGCTACTAATATTTACGTAAAAACCCAAAGTTATTAAAACCTTTTACAAACTTTTAAAATTGAATAACGTTCCAAGCATAAGAAAAAAAGCATTGCACACTCGGCTTATTGCAATCACAAAAATTCAAAAAAAAATTAAAATTTTCACTCGAGTTTTTAATGACCCAACATTAGCTGAATTTCTTGTACGAATTGTATAGGCCGTTCCCACTTTCTGAAGATTAGATTAGTCCTTGGGCTTAATTTACTAGTGGGCGCACGAACTATAATACTATACTTTGGTATATAAGCGTCACATGGACTGAAGACTAGAGTGTCATAGAAAAGTCATCGCTGTTTGCGCCAGCCACAAAACGCACGCTACCGTCAATCTACGCTGCGTCAAAAGTGGGGAAGAGCTGCCTGCTGAGTGCACCAACTTGCACGAAACTCACGCTGCAATCTTTCAAGGAATTTAGGATCTTTTGTAAACTGTTTTCAAAACTCAGCACGTCAACGACCGACAGAAACATATAACTGTAAGGCCGACGAGCTCTTAAGCAAACATGACAGGACCTCTTTCTCCTTGTCCCCTTCTTTAACATTGAAGAGAAAACAGAAACAGAAACGACCATAAACTGACCCACAAAAAGCAAGCGAGTCCTGGCACCGCTCAAAGCTCCTCTCGGACGAACCATTGGCGTTATCTTCGATTTTTGTAGTGGCATACCAATGGTACGCACTAAAAAATAGATGAGCTTCCAAATCTGCTGCATTACGATAATGTAGATTTCGCTCTGTTTAGCGAAAAGTTTCTTCAGTTACACAAGCCGCTTCTACCATCTCGCCTAGCGGACGGCACAAACTAGTTAATTATTCGAACTATCTCACTGAGAGACGCACATTAAGAAAACGGGCATTACCTTGTTTACTCCAAATGAGGTCTTGACTGAACTTTCTTCGGCCCCCTAACCTTTTCGCTCGGATGTAGTCAATGCAGTGCTATTGCGAAGCACTGTACACGGTTCTTAACATGAACAAAATTTTCTTAAGTTGCGCGCTTTATTACCCCCGTGCTAGTTGTTGCCCACGCTGCTGCAATCATTAGTCGTGTAGTGCGTACCCCTAATGCATTTTATTTACGAGTGCAGCCGGATGGCACGACTGACCGCCGCATACGATGCCTCAACCATAAGTCAAAGTTATAGTTTTCAGTAACAGATAAAGGATTCGCCTCTAGTAAAAAATAAACTGCAAAGCAAGTTAACGCGGCGATAAGAACGGCAAACTTTTTAGCGCTTGGTTAAGCACACTAATACAGCTGCTTCCGCCACTACCGCCATTGACTTCATGACTAAAACCGAAAGCGTCTAAAAGATGCGTAGCTTTTTGCCAGTCATCTTTCGAGGCAGGTCGTGCCAAAAGGCCATACTACGGCGAGGGTCACCCGAAAACTCCTTTCACGATACCGAACTAACCAGGTGAACCAAAGCAGCTGACCCTCGTATAATAATTTATGCACTGACGCAACTGAAATCACCAGGCCCTGTCGACCACTTTGCGATGGGACAGGTGTTTTGATGTCTTCGAAAACGCCCTATCAGTCTGCTTTCCGCAGGGGATAAGCTGTTGCGCTGCCCGAATGAACGCGTTTTGCAGGCGAGCTCTGAACTGCTAAACTTCAGTTTAGTCATTCAATGGCACAACAGTTCGTTGAATGAATAACCCGTGGCATCAAAATTAATAAGGGGAGATTCCCTTTCTTAGATGCCGAGAATATTTATAATTGAGTCCGGCCAAAAGCTTCTTGCATGCATTTTGTTCTCTCGCGCATTCTACAATTTACTTGAACTTCTCTAAGCGATAATGTTTACCGAGTTCGGATCAACGCTGTGTTGTCACCTCTGTGCTCGCTGACCGCCGAAGTTTTGCAATGCTATCCGTTTCCGACTTTGCGATTGAGTAGTATGTACGGGGCATGCCAGCCTCTAATAGTCCAGTACAATGCCAACTGAATTCGTCAGCACCTACCACTACTAAAAATTACCAGCCAGCTGGAAACTCTTTTTGCTGCTTTTTTTTATTTTGAGGGTGCGGAAACCCTTTTGAAATCCTCAAGTAAAATACTAGGGGATCGTCGAGGCGGGAAGTCAAGCGGGCTCCCCTGCACTATCGTGTGCGTATAGCAAAAGTTCCTTGCTTTACACGATATGTGTACGGCCTAAGCTTCTTTCCTGTGTGCATTTGATGCACCGTCCACTGTAAAGAAAGGCCGTAAGTAAGCTACTGCTAATGCGGGGTAAGCCGTATTTTATACGTAACGACAAGGTCGCAATTACTGGAAATCGCTCCAAGTTTAGCTAGTAAACGTGTCGTATTACATGCCAACTACCAAAGGGTATAGGCTTATTACGAGCTTAGCGTGATGCACTGCGAGAGACGGGCCTCTGCAAAAGTCAGTAATAGTAAAGGCTAATTTCTTATTAACTCCGCTGGTCTATATGCTTAAAGGTCAATTATATACTGCCGGGTTTACTTATTAGACTCAAACGTGGATGTATTATGCAATAATTATAGTAATTTAGTTCAACAACTGAAAACTCTTAAAAAAAAAAGGGAAGAGAAAAAAAGGTTGGTCGAGTAAAATAATATATAGGGTTAAAAAAGTTACAAATGGAATTTAAATTAATAGAAAAAATGATATAACTAGGAGTTTATAGTAGTGCTATGATAAAAGGAAAAAATTAGAAAATGTACTAGAGGCATTAAAGACCGTTAAGAAAAGTCTTGAAAAAAGATTGTTTACTTTCAGGTAAAAGACGGTCGATAATATTTAAAAAATTATTGGTTTTCTGAAAGCTTACGAACAGTATATAATATTTTTACTTCAATATAAAGTCATACTTAAATTCATAAAGGGAACTAAATAATAATTTTTTGAAGTAAAATACTAACTTTTACAAGGCATAATTACCTTTCTTTTATCCCTCAAAAAAAAGTTTTTTGGCAAAGAAAATCTTATTATATAAACAAAGAGTTCAAACTGGAATAAGATTTAACCACTTCGTAATTTACGTCTTGTTTTTGTTTACATAAATATTCAATTATCTCTAAAAGTTCTAGTTAAAGAAATTGCTTCACACTACTTATACCATTTTTCAAAAGGTTTTACATTCATTATTCAAAGGGTGGGAGGACTCTTCAAAGTTACTTTAAAACCCAAGATAATTAAATTAACATTGGACTGTAAGAAGTTAGCTACTTAAGTAAAAATAAATTAATTATAAATTGAAATTATACCATATTTGAAGGTATACTTTGTATTTTAAAGACAGATGTATATTAAAAGTGCTCTAGATGAAATTTAAAAAACACTTCAAGGGTTAGTTCCTTTTAAAAGTTGTTTGGTACGTAAAGTGCGTCATAACCAGTACTTCTTGCTAAAAAAAATAAAAAAGATATATCTTTTAATAATAATAAGTTCCATACTGGCAATATTTATTGGGCCCTCACTCATTCTATTGCTAAGATTCTTATAAGCAATAACTTTTAACCTAAGCACCTTAAACTTAACAGGTTGGTGAAAGTTAGACTACACAGCACATACTTATTTTTATGGTAAATCTTGGTTAGAGCAGAGTAGCATCTGACAAGGGTGGCTGTTTTAATTTATAGAAGATTTTGAAATCGGACAGTCTTGTTACGCTTGCTATGGATTATAACATCTTTTATCTTAAGGACTATTCTTATGATTTCATTTAGAATAAAAAGACTTTCTACTTTATTGTCGATGGCGCTGGTGCATTTACTTTTTTTCCCTCGTCTAGAATTCTCATTAGTTGTACACTTAAATTAAAACTATATAGTTGTTTTTCGGTTTTACACTCTTTAGTTTTTTAGTAAATTTATATGGGAAGTGGCCCTTACTTCCAGAGGGATATGTGACTTACAATAGTCATTATAAGACAACATTAGTAAGATTTTCCCTAATAGTATGGGGCTAAAAGTATACTCTATAGCTTACAAGCTTTAAGAATTTAGTATAATATACGAGGCGAACTAACCGCATCAAGAAGAAAAGATATATCTTAAAAAAGATATATCTTAAACTTCAATGTCTGTTCTAATCTAAACTTATAATACCTTCTTTACTTATAAAACGGATTTACAACATACTTCCATTAAGTGTTATCCGGGCCTTTCTTGTATAAAAAAGAAAATTTGAATGCAGTATTTAACGTAGTAACGTACACCTCCATTAAAATAGAATTTAATGCCGTTATTAAGCAGATTAAAGACCGTACATATTTTAGCAATAGATTATAAAAGGTAGCTAATGACCAATATATAGTTACCTTAAATAATTTAATTTTTAGATCCATGCAGTAAGGTGATTAAATTCTAAACAGATTACTAGGCATCCTCGATATCATTGTTTAATTAGTAATCTTACTTTAATGTTTAAGTAAAAAAAAATATACTTGAAATTTTTAAATGGAATAATTGAACAAAGAAAACTGTTTAAAGAGTAAATAGCGTACCAACGGTAGTAAAGTTAATAAAAGGTAGAATAGAAAAAGTATATTTGGAGAAACTATGAATTTTGGTGCTTAGAGTTTTATAAACACATACAGCAAAATAGAACGCGTACTGCAAGTTTTTTTTTTATTTTTAGTGTAAGTTCGGAAAGAAGTTTTAAAGAATCAAATAATATTAGCAACGTGGTTAGTTCTCCAATTAACTTATACTATAGTACATAAAAGTTTATAATGCATTTTTAAATTGTAAACTACATTAAGTAAAAAGCTTATATAGTTTTATATTAGGTTCATTATCTTCAAAAAATAAAACATTTAGCTCTAAACAAACTTTCTAATTCCATAATGGTACTTCCTTTGGCCACACGCGAGGAAACGTACTATTGAAGTCAGGAGTTGCTGGCGACAGAATAAAATTTTCTGGTTGTAATTACCCATGTTTTAAGTATTAACACTACTGTGACTAGAGTTTTTAAAAAGAACTATTATTCTTTTAAATAAAAAAATAAAGGTTCAAGAATAAGACCATATGTCAAACCTCTGAATGAAACTAATGAGTATTGTATTCAATGAATTTATTGCTGCTGAAACACTAAACTATAAATAATAATTAGTAGGTTATAGTCAACGTGGGGGAAGCAAAAAAGTGAAAAGAGCCTTTGACTTTATAATCTGTAGTAAAAAAGCGAGGTTTTTTCTAAATTTAATATGTTATTAAGGCTCTTATTCCTAAAACCTTTTTTATAGTAAGTCTGTGGAAAGCTTCTGATCCAAAAATGTTTAAAAGAAACTTATA